TATATATATATATATATATATGAAAATTACGAATAGAAGTCGATTATTCAGCGAGTATTTCACGTAACACCACTACATACCGGAAAGTTGCCATTGCTGCAATTACAAGAGACTCTGCAAATTCTATGCTTACCCTACAGTTACGTCTAAGATTGGAGGTGTAATTACAAATTGTGTTCTCGCATGAGTACATGTTATATCCCTCAGCGATTCATGGAATTCGTGCGCTACTGATAACGTCAAATTAATACAATGCCTTAATTATATTGTCGCAATAGTGTTCGTTGTCATAGCAGAAACTGCAGCATCTGACATATCAAAATTGTTAGGCGCATTAATTAATTTTCACATTAACACCTTTAAAACTTAATATTTATATGTTGGTGATGCAGTTTAATATATATCGATGTTTGTAAAATGTTTATACATATAAATGAAAAATTATTGAAATGAGAAAATATTTTCACACACTATATACGTAAAGAAGTTTTTAATAACGACAAAATTCACAAAAATTTTTGAAATAAATTAAATACGACAGCTGCAGTGATATTAATTTGCATTATTATTTAACATCAGTTATTTTTATAATATCCGAATATCTGGATCTCTCATCCGTATGCATTTTTTTGTAGATTATTTTTATTTTTTGTGTGGAATATTTCAAATAAAAATCAATATATTCTATACGCAATTTAATGAAAACGTCATGATACTTATTAGAACATTCTATTTGCGTGATATTTGTTGTTTTCGTAAAGATACAAAAAATGTTTCTTTAATTGAAAAATGAGAAAAAAAATGACAAGAGATATTTACAATTGATTGCACTTTATTGACCTGTTGTAATGTTCTTGTCTATTGATTTTTCCAAGTCTCAGCACACTCTTCGCCATTTGGTTTATTGATGACCATGCTTATTTGGCCGTGTGCCTAACGGTCAGGAAATTTCTAAATAGATCCGTAAACACCATAAAGCACGGGTTCCGCTCGATGCCAACGAAGTGGACTGCGTCGATCCATTAATCTTAAGAATTAAAAGAAAATTAATTACAGTTGTTGCAACTTGAGTGGGCTCTGCTGATGGATGATGAGAAACGGCGAGATGTTAGCCGACGGAAGAAGAGCAGAGAAATGGGAAAGGGATCAAGATGAAGCGAACTGACATTTCGCCTTATACATTCCGCGGAATTTTCTTCAGATCTTAAATATTATTTTCAATGATATAATTAACACATGGATATTGCTTATACTTTTAATAAGCAATACTTTTTGTTCTTATTTAAATAATAATTACTAGAAATTAAATAAATATGGATTACTAAGAAATATATAATAATATTTTATTATCATCTTTTAATTAAACGTATACTAAAAGCATTTTTTAATTACTATTATCTGTATATAAAAATTGTAGAAAAGTTCTTATATCTTATATAAAAATTTTTTTTACACAATTTTTTTCATATTTGCTACAAATGTAGTCTCTTATTAATAGACGCGCTTATTTATGTGACACGAACGCTTTGATTCTGTATTACATACATCACATGTATTACATATATCACATATTTATTTCCTTGTGATGTCCTTTTTGATATAATTGACCGAATATTTATCAAGGGATGAGAGAAGAGGCGCCGATGGCGTTTCTGTGGGATAGAAATCGACGGGTCTGTTAAACCGAACACGGATCTATCCGCTTTGATGGGATATCTCTCTTCTGTTCGGCCTTATTTCCTTTCTCTTTCTATGTTCGCCGGGACAGGTTAAATATTCAGTTCCGGCGGGTTAAGGATTCAGGAAGGGTGCGGCCCTCGATGTCGCTCGCCTCGCGTTACGTCCCGTATAAAGGAACACGAAAATCCGTTCCTCGTGAATTACAGCGACGGCTTGTCCCATCCGTTATCCGAGCCACCCCCGTTTCCCGGTAATTAACTATCAATTCGTTGGAGATCGGAACTCGACACAATTATATTTTGAACCATAACTATTTTTTTTATATCCATGATATCGTTTATAGACTTATGTTTCGTTTCAAAATCACTAAATCCAAAACGATCAAAGTACATTTAAAAAGTTGAAATTAAATTGAACAACTATTTTCTCTAAAAAATAACCTTTATGGATTAATACAAAATTTATTTAAAAACGAGATAAAATTATTATTTTTACAAAATATTTATTACACGTTCAAAATTAAAGTATATTTGTACAAATGTTGTTGAATAATTTGCAAAATTTGTATTTATAGATCCAGATATATCTTTGATAAAGTTTGTTTATATTTATTAGACATTGACTTAAACAATAATTAACTATTAAAATATGTGATTATTATACTGTACTGTAGTAATTTGCAATATTTTGTTTCATTTTTATATTATTATTTTGTTTCATGTTTATATTTTTATATTATTATGTTACAACAAATTTTTATGATTTGTAATATTTTATTTTTTATAACAGAATAATGTAGAAATTAAAATCATTAATTTTAGATGTCCTATTTAAATTATAATTGATGTATAGAATCTAAAAAAAGTTCAAAATATTTGTAATTATCCTAATAATTCTTAACATCTTTCTGTTAAAATAAAAATATTTGTTTCAAAAAATTATTATATTTAAGATAATATTGGCAATCTTTTATACAAAAAAATAAAATTAATACAAAATAATTAATACAAAATAAAATTTTTTATTGATTTTATTGATTTTCATATTAAATGATATTTTTTGTGATATAAGTAATTGTATAGATAATGATGCTTATTATTATTAATTTGTTCTTTAAAACTTTTTGTATAGAATACGGTATAAATTTTTCACAACTTATATTTAGTACGTATATTTAATACGAATAAGTAAATCAGGAAAACGGAGATATCGTAGTTGTAGGACGTTTAAATATTCCCCTCATTTCTTATTCAGAGTATATTTCATCCCTTCATTCATTCATTCGTTTGCTCCTCCGTACATATACATATTCTTTGGATAGAATCGACTTCAAACACACACATACATATACATACACACTACTCTACTTCTTATATGAAAGAGGGATAAAGAAGGAAGAGACTAGACTACCCTCCTTAACGTACTGAAAAATCTGGAAGATTTGTGCGACGCACATCTGCATTTTAATTATTCTGAATAATTTCTTGCATAATCTTTATCCTGCAAACTTGGTAGGGTTAGTTTTTCCATCCCTTCTTTTCTTCATAAAATTCTGTATAATAATGTTTAATATTTTAGATTCTTTAAAATGCACTTGAATTTATTTATTCTTTAATTTAATCTTTCTTAAATTATTTTTTATATTAATAGAATATGATAAACAATTTTCTTTCAAATATAAAAACAATTTAAACAATATGTATAATGTATGCAATAACAATATGTATAAGTGTACAATATAACAATTACATACAATATAACAATTAAATGTATAAAAGGATGTTTATCGTAGCATATACATTGATTAAATATTAATAATATTAGTCAGGTAATAATCACAGATTAATCTTAGCTTTTTTATGAGGTTTTTGCTTTTACATGATATTTTATATTTTTTATTAACCAGATGCATTTATCACAGTCCAAAGGATGGATGAGACTTCACGGTGCGACCCTACTGCCGCCGCGTTATTTTTTCCCTTCACTGAATATTTGTCTCTATCCAACGAAGAAAGGGTTGGTAAGCGGATCGCACCGGAAGGGTGTCAGCCGCTTATTAAAAAAACCTTTTGGTCTTAGACGTGATTTTATCTTCTTCCCCTGCTTTATGGACAATGCACAATCATTAAAACTCACTATAGAAAATTATTTTAAAAGCTAAAGCGTATTGTTAAGAAAAATAAGAAAATCTTACGTGTTGTTAGCAAAAAAACTGCATTAATGTAATACCAATTTTAGGAAAAATTTAAATGTTCTTAAAAAAACTTTTAAGAATCTGATCTTTAAAAGACAATGTATAAAACTTTTCATTATTATCATATGGAAATGTTCTTAAATGACTTTTTAAACAATTCAAAAAATTATACACAAAAGAATAATTTTATTAGAAATTAGATTTTTAGAAATATAACAGTTCAAAAATAGAAAAATATACTTTAAAAAGTATAATAAATTTTTCATACAATATCATGTTACTTTATTAATAGATAATATTTATCAGCAACAGCCGATTTAAAAATTTTTCATGTTTATTATTTTTTTAAAGGTAAGATTACTGAAAAGAAAAATTATTGAAAATCTATAAAAGTATCAAATTGTTTTTAATAATTTGTAAGTAAGATTCACTTTTTTATATCTTTTTGTAATTTATTTTTATTCAAACAAAGATTACTTCTAAATAATGATCTTTAACATCTGGAAAACAGTATACAAGTTAGTTATAAGAAAGAATTTATGAAATACTGTCCCTCGATACACGGGCTAGTTCAAAAGCGTCATTATCCGAAAGACTGAATGGCGAACCATGCTTAAGTCATCCGTTTTTCGGTGACCTCGATGGCTTCTGCACCCAGGGATCCCAAGGGTGGCTTAATCCTGCAGGACCTAGTAGAGGGCATTAGGGATAGTGAGCAAGTCCGGAAGGGGTGAGGTGCTGGCTGACGGTAGGTGTGTCCCGCGAAGTAGGTATCTATTAAGGAGCGTAGCAGAGGAGCTGGTTGTTCGGGCTAAAACTTGTACCTACCTACTCCGAGGAACTTTGTGTGAAATGCGCCTCGAGCACATCCTGCCGCGTCTCCTTCATCCTGTCTTCCATATTAACGGTCGCACCACCCTCTACCGTACTTTTGCCGTCACCTTCGTCTTACTTCTCACCCCGCTCCCAGCACCGTTTTCCTCTTCGTTTTCTCGTGACTCCTATGCTGCTCGATGCAGAGAAGGTTTTCGTTGCGCGGTCGCGCAATTCGCGATTTTAGCGACGACGATGCGTTACGTGTGTGTTCATGGAATAGATGTAAATTATTGAATTATCCCGGTTACGTGGCGCCCAACGTGAAGTTTAAGTAGCAATTACCATCAATTCGGCATTTTGTGACGGTGAGTCTGAAATGGGGAGAATGTTGCATTTAAGTTTACATCGCGTATATATTAATATCAGATATATTAATATCTGTGCATATACATATTCAAAGGTACAAAATAATAAAAAGCAGAGATGAGAGTTACGTTTTAATATTGTAAAAATGTTGTAAAATAGAAAAGTTAAAAATGGCACTTTAATTATAAATATCTATTTTATTAAAAATATAAAAGTATTTTTAATTACTTTGAAAGATGTAAACATTTTCATGTATTATTTTCTTCTCTAAATTTGCAATTTCATGTCTTTCACAGCTTGCAATTCAGCTCGATCATGTATCTAATTGCACATGAAAAGAGAGGTTCGTGAATTTCGTATGCCGATCGCGGAGAGCGGTCCGTTGGACAACAGCCTAATTCCTGAAGTTCGGAGTAATTCGCAGGAGGAACGGCCAGATTGTTGATGAATGGACGAGGTTTGTCGAAATCAAACAATCAGCTCTGCCGAGTCGAGCGAAAGATTATTTCTGGCAACCACCCGCAAAAATTAAAGCGTTTGCCCTCCGGCCGCCAATTTGACCCCGCTTAGCACTGTCCAGCCATCCACAACTTGTCTGCGAAAGGAGAGTCCACGGTCACTTCGCTTGACCGAGTTAGCTAACAGTTTGTGTCGCTGATGGAATAATGGTCCATTTGGGATGCACGTGCTGCCGCAGTACCCTCCTTTCACCTGTCGCACGTATTTACATGTAATCTCATACAATTAATATTTATGTCGGTTCTACTTTGCTATGTTCTACTTCGCAGCTACTCAAAAGCTGCATTTGAGCATATGCATATTTTTAAACTCGATGAAATTCTGTTGCATAAATTCTGTTGGAATAATATATAGAAAGATCCAAGATGTAATATCCAAGAAAAAATATTATATTTTATAATTGAACAATGACACGTTATAATTTAATTATAGTTATATCATATATAGTATATAAATTTTCTTACTCATATTCTTGTTATTATAATATTATGGACGTGAAAGGAAAAAAATAACAAACGCGCTAATTAAATGATATATCAATTTTCTCAACAACATAATTCTATACGTCTTCGATCTTATGTATTTAATAAGTTTTTAAAGTTTTTCTAAATAATTAATGATTAATTAATGATTAATAATTTACTAATTGAATTAAAAATTTAATTCAAATATCTTTTATAAATAAGTATGAAGAAACATTTTAGACATCTGGATGAATTTCGCTTCAAGGAGAAGATTTTTCGCCATAATCTGCGGTAATGCTACAGCGATACTTAGTAATAAGAGTATCATATGTCGAGTATGAGGTGTAGCGAGCATCAGGGACGGTTGAATCTCTCGATGGAAGAGCTGCTGCAAAAGGGAGTTCAAGGACCGAACCCCGGCGCTTTTATACGCCGTGGCCGTAAATACTTCAACACTGACGCGTGCAATATTAAAGGTGCAAAAGCTGTATGTACGGCCATCATTCGAGTACTCGACGAGCGGGCGAGCGGGGGCGCGTCCGAGGGCGCTTACACACGCGTGGAACCATCCCTCGCGCGTATACACGTGCACGCGTGCACACGCGCACAACTCGAAGATTTATGTTGCTTATCTTCGCGTACGAAAGGCGCGGACGTTTACGGGCGTACGGAAAATCATTTACTCTGGCATCGATTTCCCCGCGTCTCTGACGCGCTTTCCTGCCATTCGGCTTTAACGATTCATTTGCAACGCCCGACGCGGCTCGCTCGACTCTTATTTCACGAAATGAGAAGAACAGTGTGTGTGATGCTCGCAGATGCGTTCTTAGCGAATGGACGACGGAATCGCCGCGCTTTTTCACGCGCGTGAAAATACGACTCTACGGAATTATTAGGAGACTCGGACAGTTTTATTTCCTTTTTCTTGATTTCCTTTTCCTACTCGACTTCCGTGACCCGCTATGCAGAACACAATCGTGCATGCTGATTTATGAGCGTGAGTAAGGACAAGCTGCGATTATTTTTTTAGGCAGCCACTTTCGAGGTGAATTATTGTTCTTCGTGCTACGTCGAGGATTCTACGGTAATCTTGATCGCGCGGGGCATCGTATAGCCGGTTTGTATACTTATTTTCACCGGTTATCTCGTTGTTGATACTCCTACGTAGAAGCGGAACGGTAATGAATATTTGATGCATGTTTGCATCGTATATCATTTGTGTTGGAAAGCTGTGATTTTAATATTTAAAAATAGTCGCCATTCCACGATGAATTTTATAATTATTGGACTTTCATCGGAAATTGGATATCTGTCTCTCTGATCTACGTTGAACGTAACGTAACATTGAATCAATATCTGTAGATCTAGGCGAAATGCGTACAACGATGTCATACAATCGCTCTGATAACTCAAATCTATTAGTGATAGCAAAAATAGATAAAAAATCTTATTCATTTTAGACTAATAATTTTATTCTAAAATAATTTTATTCTAAATACAGTTATATTTTTATATTATTTTAACGACGATTATTTTTTATTTTACATATATTAAGAGCAAATAATTACATTTTTTTATACATTTTTAATACTAGAAACTCTTATAAAATGTTCTGACCTTTTCATTTAAGATAATTTTTTCATATATACGGATATAAACATTTTCATTTTTTTATAATTTCTAAGAGATGATCTTATCTACACACACACACACACACATCCACACACACACACACACACACCACACACACACCACACCACACACACACACACACACACACACACACACACACACACACACACACACAGAAAAGAGTTGTATCCATCAAGATTTGTGGAACATTAATCTTCCAAATAGAATTTCTCACAGAGTTACATAAAACTTCTTTAACAGCATTTTTCTTCAAGTTGTTTTACGTGTATGCATATCCGTTTGCCTATGTAATGCGAAAACGCGTTATTCAGTGTCACGTAAACATGCATTTTTCGAATTTTGTACGCGACTAGTAAAACCGTCCTTTAATAACATGCAAATTACATTGGCACTCATCGGAAATGTTTTACAAATGAAGGAGGAGCTTAAACGTTTATTGGATTTTGTGCTGACAGCCACATCCTGTTTCCTTTTCACAGAATTTTTACATACATATTTACTGAAAATAAACATTTGATAAAAAAAGCATAAACTTTTGAAAGGTATTTATTTTTATCTGCACATTCTTATTGATAATACTGCATTATATTGCATTATCGCATTTGTTCAATGTTCTTACGAATACTTATATGAAAAGGTTTATGGATGATAAATTTCTTAGACTTCAGCAAATTTAACGTGGATATTCGTAGAAGACATTTGAGAAACTATATTTATGTTATACTATAGACTCTGCCAGGGTTTCTTAACGGAAGCACAAGAAAATACTGGCATTTGCCAAATTCTCCGGTTGCTTCTTGGTACGTAACTTCGCGTAAATGATCATCGCAATATATCAGTGCCCTGTTTCCTCTTGTTCAATAATATGGACATTACGCATAATAAATTTTAATATATTTGTAAATCGTAATATTAATATATAAATATGTATAAATTTATTAATTTATTAATAAGATAATTGTTATACAATCTAAAGTGTGTTATGCTTTGCTTAATCAAATATAATTTCTTTTATAAACGGATATACCTATTACTTCATTTATTATTTTTATTATTAATTTTATTTACATTTATTTGAATTTTCATTTTAGTGTATTATCTTCACTAATTATGTAGATTATATATAACTGTTGAGTTTTGTATTTCTTTAAATATTGATAAAAATGTTTCTTATCACGGATAAAATTATTATCTGCTAGCATTGCTGATGCAGCAACTACGATGAATGGCTGGTGCAATTAAAATGACAAACCAGGTCTGCTTTGCAAATATTACTGCGACAGCAAATATCCATTAATTGAAACATACCATGTAAATAACAAACAATTAATCTTTCGATTGGAAATATATTAGTATCAATAACACATAATGGAAAATCTAAGATATGTATATTTAACTTATTTATTATAAACTTAGATTCTATTATACTGCTTGTATAAATAATTTATACAAAAAGATTATACTTTAAAAATAAATTATATTTTTCTGAATGATGTAATTATTTATATTTTTAAATTATTTTAAAGTTAAGAAAATATCTGCATGCAATGTCTTTGATTTTTATTAAAATTTTATTTTATTTATTACATTACATATGCTTCTCTGGAAGATACATTAATTGTAGGGAATTAATTACATAACTCAATTTGATTTAAATTTATTAGAATATCATCTAGTGGAAAAGTTATTTAAAACATTAGTTGTTTATTCATTCTATTTTGGTAAAACATGGAACATAAACAAGTTTGTGCATTTTAGTAATTTTTTTTAAAGGATTTAATACAGCACTTCAAAACTTCAAAGATACACTGAGGCAAAATTATTCTTAGCATCTTCTGTAAAGGTAATAACCAAAATTCATTTTTCTTTTATTTTGATCTCAAAAGATTCTAGCTCGGAAGTTTATCACGCTTTAAAAATGTCTCCTGAAAGTAAGCAACAGCATACGATATGTGTTGCGGGTTAGTCTTTTCTACTGAAATTTTCTACATGCAAAAAGATTTAGCCGGAAAACAGGCTTTCTTGAATACATGCTTGAATAAGCTTTTTTGTAAATTTAATGAAAGGAAATTATAAAGATATTCAAAATAAAACTTTTATGTTACTTTTTTTTTATTAACAATACAATGATACAATTTTATTAACTATCTTTATATTAAAATATTAAAATTTTAAAAAGAGTTAAATATGTTATTATATATTATTATATTATAATATTAAAAATATGATAATGAAGATTTACACATATTGAAGTTTTGTTAGTAAATTTTTTGCGATACACCAAATTTTGATAATTTGCCGCAAGTTCTGATAATATAAACTTGTAACGTGATATCAACAATTGCATTCGCGTGCAGCGAATGTGAAGA